CCTCATCAGTCAGTATTATCAATGGGTGGTTCCTTAATACGAATAAGATCAATTCTCCTATTCTGAGCTTCTTGGTGAGTTGCACATCTGTGTGACTTCTGGGGTCACGTAGACTTCAAAGTTGGGGTCTCATTTTGGGACATTCTTGATTAAAAGGGAGCAGAGAAAGCTGCTTTGCAGGAAAGGAAATAAGAGAGAAGCAAGAAGCACTCATAGGAACAGAAGGAACACAGGATCTTTCTGGAATCCTGATGGCTGTCTTTGTCTTTCTTCCGGTCCCCAGGGAGGCTAATCTGCAATTACTGCTCTTAGGCTCTTCTAAGAGATACCGCAATGCCCTGGTAATACATTTGCCTCCTACCTTGCTCGCCCCCGACCAGCCCCACCAAAATTATTTAAAGTTGACTTTGTAGCACTTGTACTCAACAATCCCTTTATCACATTCTTCATCTTGGTAGACCACTCTAGAATGTAACCAAATTTTTATTACATTTTTTTTTCCAGCCAGTGTCCTTTTATTTGTCCCTCCCCAAAGCAATACTACATAGTATGCTCATTATTATGATAATCTGGCCAAGTGTGACCATAGACTGAATTTTAATGAGCTTCTAACCCCAGTTAGTAATATGGCACAATTTCCAACAAATATGTGCCACTGGCTAAAAAGGAGGGGTTAAGGTTTAGAATACATATATCACTACAAATCCACCATCAGAAATCCAACTGGAAATGCCTGATGAGTATAGGTTGTAGTGTCAGTACAAGAAATGAATTATGTCACTTGCCATATCTGCCTTATTTATTAAATAATTGATTTCCACAAATGCTTAACAGTGATTCTCAAACCTCAACAAAGACAGAACTATCCAAGGAAGCTTTTTAAATACAAATTCCTAGGCCTATCCCAGGAACTATTAAATAAGAACCTGTGGTAGATGAGGTCTGGGAATCTATTTATTTGTACACTTATGATTCTCCAGGCCATTTTGAAGATCAATCATGTTGGAAGACCACTGTTCTAGTATATATAATGTCTAGGAGGAAACTTGCAACTGAAATTCAAACTCCAATCAATATAGAAAAATAAATTGTGTTTCTACATACCAGCAATGAACAATCGGAAATTAAAATTTCAAAAAGTGCAATTTATAATAACCTTCAAAACATGAAATACTTAGGTAAAAATCTGACAACATGTGCAAGATATATATGCTGGAATATTGTTAAATCAATGTATTCAACAATATATTGATGAAAGAAATCAAAGAAGACCTAAATAAATGAATATTTATACAATATTCATGGATTGGCAAATTTAATATTAAGATGTCAATTCTCATTAATCTATAATCATATACAGAGAGGTCTATAATTTCAACTCCATCCCAAGCAAAATCTCAGAAGCAATTTTAAAAAAGAAATTGACAAGCTGATTCTAAATTGTACAAGACAAAGGAACTAGAATAGCCTAAACAATCTTGAAAAAGCAGAACAAAAGGGAAGGTCTCACACTACCTGATTTTAAGACTTATTATAAAGCTACAATTACCAGACAGTGCAGTGATGATAAAATGACAGACACAGAGATGAATGAAACAGAGCAGACAGTTCAGAAGTAGACCCATGCATGAATAGTCAATTGATTTTTACAAAAATGCAGGGACAATTTAGGGAGAAAGGAATGTTTTTGAAACAAATGATGCTGGAACAATTGAATATCCATACGCAAAATAATGAACTTTGACCTATACTTCATATTATATGGCAACATTAGCTCAACAAGTGTAATAGACCTAAATGTAAAAGTTAAATAATTTCTAAATTATTCGATGATTAGAATTATCTTCTAAAAAACAATTCTAGAAGAAAACAGATGAAAAACTTCATGGTCTTGGGTAAAAATATTTCTTGGAGATGATAAAAATCATGATCTACAAAAGAAAAACATGATAAACTAGACTACATCAAAATTAAAATTAAAAGCTTCTGCTTTTTGAAGAACATGCTTATGAAAAATGAAAAGCCATGCACTGGGAGAAAATATTTGTAAAAAATTTGTAAAAATATTTGCAAAATATGTATCTGATAAAAAAAACTTGCACGCAGAATACATCAAGAATGCCTAAAAATCAATAATGAGGAAACAACAAATAGGTAAGGATTTGAACAAAGACTTTACCAAAAAAAGATATACAGATGGACAATAAACACATGAAAAATACTCAACATCATATTTATTAGGGAAATTCATATGAAAACATCAATGAGATGATATCATTGCATACCTATCAGAATGGCTAAGATATAAAAACTTTATAATATCAAGTGTTGTTAAGGATGCTGAGCAACCGGACTCTCCCACAGGGTTGAAGGGAATGCCACTCAGGAAAACAGTTTGGAAGCTTCTGATAAAGTGAAACATATGACATGAAACTCCCACTCCTAGGTATTTAAGGGAAATGAAACAAGTTCACATAAAAACCTACTTATAAATGTTTATAGCAACTTTATTTGTAATTACCAAAATTGGAAACACCCCAAATGTTCATCAACAGGCAAAATGATAAACTGCGATACATTTGTACAATGAAATACTACTCAGCAATGAAAAGGGACGTGACACTGATACATGATGTGATATGGATGAATTTCAAATGCCTTATGCTAAATGAAAGAAGCCAGGCTCAAAGGCCAGACACACTCTTTCATTCTATTTTATATGACATTCTGGAAAAGGCAAAACTACAGAGGCAGAAACCATATCATTGGTTTCCAGGAGCTGATTGGATAGAAAGGTTGATTACAAAGGCACAAAGATCTTACAGTACTCAGTCCTTTGTAGTGAAGAGGCTGTACGTTATACTGCTGTGTTTGTCAAAATCCATAGAATTTTATGTGAAAATGAGAGATTTTACTAAATTATGCCTGTATCTCAATAAACCTGTCTAAAAAGAAAAATACAATAAAAAGCAAAGTTCCAGTTTGGTGTGTCAAGGGATATGTACTTTGCTTTCAGGTTGATCCTTTCTAAGAATCAAATTATCTTTTTCCCTCTTCCAAATGACTAAGGTAACAAATGGTCTGCCAGTGTCCCCTAACATGGAAATTCTGAGAGGACAATGTGCTATGTGCCGCTCTATTTGCTGTTGTGATGGGCTTTAGTAGTAGACTAAATAGTCTACTATTATCTACTAAATAGTAGATAAATAATCTACTATTATTTATTTATTTATTTATTTATTTATTTTTTTTGAGGCAGAGTCTCGCTCTGTCGCCCAGGCTGGAGTGCAGTGGCGCGATCTCGGCTCACTGCAAGCTCCGCCTCCCGGGTTCCCGCCATTCTCCTGCCTCAGCCTCCCAAGTAGCTGGGACTACAGGCGCCGCCACCACGCCCGGCTAATTTTTTTGTATTTTTAGTAGAGACGGGGTTTCATTGTGTTAGCCAGGATGGTCTCGATCTCCTGACCTCGTGATCCGCCCGTCTCGGCCTCCCAAAGTGCTGGGATTACAGACTTGAGCCACCGCGCCCGGCCTACTATTATTTATTATACAGGTTTAGGATATAATGTGGAGGTCACCTTCCAGCTGTAGTGAGATATTAACAGACTAGGATTGATGGGGGAGAGGAAGACCATTGTTATGTTTTTACTATATATCAGAAAACCTGTTTATGTTTTGTTTGTACATGTTTCTGTAAACATTCTGTCAACATGCTGAAGTAAACATTCAACAATCCTATAGATAATGATTTTGGGGAAATTTCAATTAAAAAAATCTAGGATCTAACTAAAATGCTAAGTTGCACACCAATTATTATACTTAAAATGGGCATAGTTAAGGGTTTCTCAGCCATTTGACCTCTGCATACATTTGCAATAGAATCTTCACCAAGAGGGGAAGAACTTCTATGATCTCAGGGGCACCTGTGTGCTGCCTCTGCCTCATGCTAAAAGAAAATACTAGCTAATCTCCAGAATGCCTTAAAACTTTCTAATATTTGGAAGTATGCAATGAATACAAAAGAGTTGAGGAATACGAATTGAATTATTAAAATGTTACATCCAACATATTTAATTTCCAGAATTTGCCATCTCCTAATAGGACCTCAGAGAGGTTAAATGATTTGTCCACAACTGGTAAGTGACAGGAATATTTTAAACTCAGGTCCTCTGACTCTAAGGCAAGTGCAGATTATATTGCTTTACTTTTTCTCTCAAAAGTTCACAAATGCGTAAGCCATGATGGTGTGGTAAATCACGCCAGGAGATGCCAGCAGTATTTCTTCTCTAGACTCTAGTGCTGAGAAGTTGAATACAACAATCTGTAAATTAATTCTTACTTGGCACTCCATTATCATTAGATTGATTTAACTCAGCCACATTTTTAATATTTCAAAGATAGAAGATATATGGCACCTGATTTCATCTTCTCTTATGATTTTTTAAAATACGCTAGAAATGAAGAAGGAAAATACTTAGTAACATTCTTCACCAGAACATAAAACTCCTTTCTCTTGCCTTCCATGGCAGCAGCCTCTTAGCTCTCTCTTTCCAGTTCTCTTTAAGCCCCTTGGAGGATCATCTCCCTCTGCTTGCCCATTGGAGGCTGTGTTTCCCAGAGTTCTGTCCTTAGGTCTCCTTTCTTCCCAGTGTATGTGACGCCTCCTCAGTGAAGACACCAAAGATCACCTGGTGACCATCAAGCAGGCCACCCGAAGACAAAACTCCTTATCTGAGGAATTTGGAAGTAATTATGAAGCGGTTTCCTTGTCTGGGGTACATACCAGAGATTCGTTGTCTTATGGCCATGGAGAACTAGGATGTGGGCACACAAAGCGGGCGATTAAGAGCAGAAGTTTAATAGGCGAAAGAAAGAGAAGAGCTCTCTATGCAGTGAGTCCCAGAGAAAACGGGTTGTGGCTTCCGCAGGGGAATGCAGGTTTCATGGAGGAGCTGGAGGGGACGGTGTTTGATTTACATAAGGCACGAAAGATTGGTCGGACCAGGTGTCTCAAATGCACAGCACAGGAAGCAGCTGGCTGCCCCGCCCTAATCTTTTATTATGCAGATAGGCTCGCTACCCGGCTGGCGCCATGTTGCCCGGTTCTTCGCTGTACAAGTGGTGAGGAAGAAACGGAAGACGGAGCCTCCATGTTGAACTTGCCTGGCCCTCAGGTAGCCCTTTTCTATTGGCTTAGCTGCTGGCATTCACCAGTGCAAGTTTCCAGATCGCTTATTTCTGTCTGCAGCTCCATTTTTTCAGGCTGCTCTTTGTTAGAAAAGAAATAATTTAAGGGCTGCTTTTTGTTAAAAGGGAAATCCCGCCAAGGACTCTGTTGTCCTTACTATCTGCCTAAATAATTTCTATCTCCTGTATCAATTAGACTTGCCTATTATCTAAAGCTGGCATCTGGTACGAAGCTTCTTTCGTACCAGATAGAAGTTACTCACAAATTCTAGTTACTTATAAATTTATTTTATTTATTTACTTATACATTTATAAGTAACTAGAATTTCTATACATCTCCAAAATGCATGCCGAAACGAAACCCATTGTGCAAACCTGGCTGACATTAAGCACAAAAATGTCTACAAATGTAATTATTTATCATGACTTATGTTGCTAATATGGTCCAAATTACCTTCAGCTCCTACTTTAAGGTCCATAAATACCCCTGAGGAAGAATCCACTGTGTTGCACTCGGTCCTCTCTTGCTGAGGTGCGCCGCTGCAGCTGCACTCTGCCACAGCGTTCTTTCTACCTCATAAACCTTTCCTTTTTCAGTCCTATATGGTCAGTCGTCAGTGGTAAATTCTTCTTACCAACCCACCAGTCGACCACCTTCTGATGTTGGGGCTCTGACACCTTGCCTGGCTCTGGATGATTGCTTTCACTCAATTCCATGACCATCTGTAGACCGATGACTGCATCTCTGGTACAGACCAATCTGACCTGCAGAACCATAGATTCCATTTCTTCTTAGTGGAGAGTTCTGTCTGAATGACCACAGAGAACCCAATCTCAACATGCCCCAGTTGAATTTCGTTGCCTTCCCTATACTCTGCCCTCTGCCCTTCCCATCTGCCCACCCTCCCCTAAATTTCCAGTGTCATAAATTTAATGACATCGTAAATGAGCTGGGAGCCATGCTCAAGTGCTTTGCCTCTTCACATCCGAGTATCCATCTAGGCTTATTGTTCTGCCAGCATTCTGTCTCTCAAAGTCTTCTCCTCTGGATATCCCTTCAGTACAACCCTCATCAAGTCTAATCTGCCTTATTCTAGTTAATCTCCTCACTAGTCCCCCTCAGCTTTGTCCCTGTCTCATTCCTGAGGGATACCTCTGAAACATGTTACTTCCAGCCAAAGGCCTTACAATAGCTGCGTACTCCCAAAGAACCAGATGCAAACTCCAAGGCCCCCCTGCTTCCATCTGCAGCCGAACCCTAATTGAAATCTGAGTTTCAGCTGCACAAACTACCTGCAGCTATCTAAACACCCTTTGCTGTTAATCATCTACAATTATATGCCTAAGCTGCTCACTCCGCCCAACCTCTTAGTGCTGGCTTGTTAGATCTTTACCTTCAATGTCCTTGTCATTATGGATTGGTATATCTTTTAATATTTAAAATGATTTTCTTTTATTTTCACCTTTTACTCTCTGAATTTTTCACAATGACTGAGCAAATCATTTTTAAGGAGAACATCTAACATTTATTAAAATACGTAGGTGAACAGGGAACGGCTTTCTCCTTTTTCTACTTTATTTTTATGATATAATCCAGATGAATATAGGATTTGTAAAACTTCAAAAAAGTTATTGTTTTAGGTCTAGTCATATGTGCAAGGTTTTCAATTTTATGAATAACTCATACCATTCTGGGGCAAGTTTTGGGGCTGAGGGTTTACACCCATATCTCCATTAAGACAACTGGGTATTCCTTTCCTGCTGTGTAGGTGTTTTCATCCCCTTCTTTTTAATAAATTAATTAAGAGAGTTTTTATTAGTAGAGTTTAAGATTTACAGAAAAATTGAGTACAGTTCCATATATGCATCCCATTCCCACCGCATATATAGTTTCTCTATTATTAACATCTATCACTAGTGTGGTACATTTGTTACAACTAATGTACCAATATCAATATATTATTAACTCTGGTCCATAGTTTACTTTCAGGTTCACTCTTAGTTGTACTTCTACAGGTTTTGACACATGTATAATGTCATGTATCTGCTAGTGTAGTACCACACAGAATAGTCTCACCTGTGCTTTGCCTAGCCATCCTCCACTTCCCTTCCCTACCCCACCCAGCTCATGGCCACTCTCATCATTTTACTATCTGTATAGTTTTTATTTTTTATTTTTGGAGACAGAGTCTCATTCTATCACCCAGGCTGGAGTGCAGTGGCACAATCTCAGCCCACTGCAACCTCTGCCTCCTGGGTTCAAGCAATCCTCCTGCCTCAGCCTCCCAAATAGCTGGGATTACAGGTGTGCACCACCATACCCAGCTAATTTTTTTTTTTTTTTGGACTTTTAGTGGAGATGGGGTTTCACCATGTTGGCCAGGCTGGACTTGAACTCCTGACCTCAAGTGATCTGGCCACCTCAGCCTCCCAAAGTGCTGGGATTATATAGTTTTTCAACACAGACAGTCTGTATAGTTCTTCAACACCGACAGTAATCATTGTATTTTCAGCCAAAATTTCCATCACCTTTTTAGGCAGACTTCTTTCTATTTGTTTTAAAATGAAGAAAGAATGTCTTCATGAAACATGAGTTATTCTGCATAGTCAGAAAGTGTTCACAGATTGAATTTTTAAAGTTGGTAATCCTTTTTTTCCTCAAGATCTAGTTTGCATTTTCTACTCCCATTAACCTACAGTGAATACATCATTGGTCAATCAAAGTTACAGGATGAAGAAAGACTCCCAGGAAACACATGTGGTTCCAAACTTAGACCTAGAAATGCCCATGAGGGAAATTGATTTCTCTTGTCTATTACCAAATTGCTACTGTTGACATCAGAGTAAGAAGTTATCATTTTCCTACTATGAGAAAATAAATTAATCTGATACACAATGTAGGCAATTGAAATGATCAGCATGATCATCTTTTCTATTTTGCCATCAGAAAAAAACCCAGTGGCTTAAATTACAGACCCCAGCATGGCTTTTTCAGATGGATAACAACTCATCTCTAGAACCCCTTCCCATTTAAATTTGATAGCACTGACACCAAAGAATGGAGGGAATGCGTATCACTACTTATTTTGGACTAAATAATTATAATACCCACTTAACAAAGCTGCTAAAAGCTTGGTGCATGATTGTGGTGTTACCTGTGCGCCAGCTCACAGCCAAGAAGCAGTGGCACATTATAATCATTTGACAGGAAAGAATTTCAAGGGGACATAGAAAAATTGAAAGTCCACATGGGATATGATGAAAGTTAAAAGAGAATTTCCTTTTCAACAAATGAAAGCAAGATATTTAGGTCAAACCTCACGTTGATAGGAAACAAAAAAGGCAACTGCCCATTTTAGAAACAGAGTGGACTGCAGGACCCATAGGAGTCCCTGTGGTCAGGTTAATGGCTTAACAAAAAGTAATACATTGAGAGTGCTTTATGGTTTTCTAAGTGCCTTTCCTCATATATATCTTGATACAAATTGTCCTTATCAGATGTTATTAATATAGCAGTGTTTTAATATGCTGAAAGTCTGCTACAGAGAGCAACAGATTAGAGTGGTCAGAAATGATCCTGTAGTGAAAACATAATGGGTTTCCTCTTCATCTTTGCTTTAGTGAAATGCTTGAAAGCCTGCTCTCTCTCTGAACTGAGTATGATCTGTTATTTCAAAACTATTTTAGTCTCAGCAGAGATGGAGTTTGCACATGCATTTTCTATAACTAAGGCCGACTCCCATTAGGGTGGAAAATAAAGCCTATAATTCATAATAAGAGATTGCTGCCTTTGAAATCACTTCCTACCATAATACTGGCCACTTCATTACAGTGGTAATTAGAAAGAAAAAACCAGAAATGGCCATTTGAAGGGGAAATTAGTGCTTAATTTCCAAGACTGTTTTATTTTAATGGCTGCAACCCTGGCAAGATTTTATACTTCAATTGCAGACCCAAGAATGATAAGGCTAGTGTTTCAGATCTGTCTTCTAAACGGAAAACACTAAATGCAGCATGTGATGAAAAAGCATCTAATGACTGAATACATCCCTTAAAGTCAAATATACTGTCTTTAAAGGAGGGTTTAAAAAATAAGTATGTATGTGAAGGTAGGCATGTGTGGGTGTAAGTTACATCCATTTAATCAGCTGCTACTGTCATTAACCAAGCACACAACTTGAGCTTGTTAAAATTAATCCAATTAAGAGTAAGTACTGTTAAAAGAAAATCTCATATTTTATTAAAAATGTCAGATGCAGCCCAAAAGGAAGGAATGGATCTTTTCCTGGAAGAGGAAAGCAAGATTTAAGACGAAGAAATAAGCATAGGTTGATCTAAGAGTCTCCATTTTTAGAGAGCTGCTGAGTTATTCTAAAGAGTGTTTCTTTTCTTCCCCCAGCCCACTTTCTCTTTTAGAAAACTCTTTTATTGTGGAACGTAACACAGAAAACTCCACCCAATAAAAACATACAATTCAATTATATTTCTCAAAGGGCACACCAGTGTAAACACAACACAGGCCAATAAAACATTGCCACACCACACAAGCCTCCTCAGGCCAGTCCTCCCCAGCCCTAATCTCTCCTTTCCCCCAAAATACAATTGTCTTTTACGTTATCATTTCTTTGCTTTTCTTGATAATTTTACCATCAAAACATGGATCCCTAACCATTGTAGTTTTGCTTTGCCTTTTTTTTTTTTTTGGAGCTTTACGTAAACAGAATCATATAGTTTATACTCCTTTTATTTATGGTTTTTCATGTGACATTATATATGTCAAATTATTGTTGCTATGAGTCGTGGTAAGTCTTTCCTATTCACTCAGTTATAGGCATATAGCACAATATTTTTTTAACCTATTGGACTGTAGGTGACTACTGTATTTGAGTGACTCAGTTTCTACTTTTCTGAATGATGCTGCTACGAATATTTTTGTATGTGTCTTTTGATGCACACGTGCCTACATTTCCGTTGTATGTGCTTGTGAGTGGAATTTCTGGGTCACTGGATGTACATTTAAAATTTTCAGATAATGCTGAATAGTTTTGTGAACTGGTTATAGCAATTTGCACTTCTAATAGCAGCATATGAGAATTGTCAATATTTGGCCTTTCTGGTAAGGTCGTAGTAGATTTTTACTCAGGGTTAAATCTGTGTTATCACTGAAGCATAATGAGGCTTTTCAAATGTTTATGGTTATTTGGCTATCCTCTTTTGTAAAATGCTTCAAGTCATTTCCCAACTTTTGTATTATGCTGTCCTTATTAATTTGTAGAGGCTCTTTATGTATTCTAGATACAAGCTCTTTTTTTTTTTTTTTTGAGATGGAGTCTTGCTCTGTCACCCAGGCTGGAGTGCAGTGGCCGGATCTCAGCTCACTGCAAGCTCCGCCTCCCGGGTTTACGCCATTCTCCTGTCTCAGCCTCCCAAGTAGCTGGGACTACAGGCACCCACCACCTTGCCCGGCTAGATTTTTGTATTTTTTAGTAGAGACGGGGTTTCACCGGGTTAGCCAGGATGGTCTCGATCTCCTGACCTCGTGATCCGCCCGTCTCGGCCTCCCAAAGTGCTGGGATTACAGGCTTGAGCCACCGCGCCCGGCCGATACAAGCTCATTTTGATGACATGTATGGGAAATTTCTTCTCCTACTTGTGGCTTGCTTTTTTACTTTCTTAATGATGTCTTTCGGTGAATATAATTTTTAAGTTTGTAAACATTTTATTTTGAATTAATTTTAGATTTACCGAAGAGTAGAAAAGAGTACAGAGAGCTCCAATATATCCTCCATCCAGCTTCCTCTAATGTTAACCCGTTCCATCACCATTTACCAAACATAACTAACACGTATCAAACTCAGATAGTAATATAGGTACGACACTATTACATAAGCAACACAATGTATTCAGATTATGCCTGTTTTCCGCTGTTATCCTTTTTCTGTTCCAGGATCCAATCCAGAATACCATGCTGCATTCAGTGGTCAGTCTCCTTAGTCTCCCTCAATCTGTGGCAATTGTCTCAGTTCATATTTTTCATGACTTTAACACTTTAGTAGTATTGGTCAGGTATTTTGAGAATAAACCTCAATTTGGACTTCTCCAATGTTTTCTCATGATTAGATGAATTCACTAATTTTTAATGTAATATAGTTTGTCAGTCTTCTCCTTTATATTAATGCTTTTTGTCTCCTTTTAAAATAACTTCCCCTCCCCACAGAGCCTGCTTTACCTTGCATATCTTGTCAAAGCCACTGTTTCACCTTTCATATGTAGTCTATAAGTTTAGGCCAAGTTCCATAGTTTCCGTATCTAACCCATCAAACATCAATTATTGGAAAAAGAAAAAAAGTTCCCTCGCTTATCTGTAGTCCCATCTTTGAGGCAAATCAAATGTCCCAGTGTGTGTGGATTTGTTTCTGAGCTCTCCATGCTGTTCCAATAGTCTATTTGTCTCTTCTTGCGCCATAGTGCACTGCACTAAATACTGGAGCCCATAACAAGTCTTGGTACCTTGTGGTAGCTATTTTGTTCAAGAGATCATTGGCCATTTCGGCACTTCTCATTGCTTTATAAATTCTGGAATCAGCTTATTTTCTCATATACACCTACATAGACAGGCATGCAGGACTTGAACTGAAGCCATAAATCATTTGGGAATGACAATTTACTATATTGCAACTGCCAGTAGATGAACATGAATATACATTCATTTACGTAGGGATTCTATAATTTTGTTCAATAACTATAGTTTACGGGTAGAGATTGTGCACATCTTATATTTATTTCAAAGAATTTAATGATATTTAATACTACTGTGAATAGAATCACTTTTTTTTTTTTTGGAGACAAAGTCGCTCTGTCACTCAGGCTGGAGTGCAATGGTGTGACCTTGGCTCACGGCAACCTCTGCCTCCTGGGTTCAAGGCATTCTCTTGCCTCAACCTCCCGAGTAGCTGGGACTACAGGCGCCCACCATCATGCCTGGCTAATTTTTGTATTTTTAGTAGAGACAGGGTTTCACCATATTGCCCAGGCTGGTCGTGAACTCCTGACCTCAGGTGATCCAACTGCCTTGGACTCCCAAAGTGCTGGAATTACAGGTGTGAGCCACTGCGCCCAGCCTGGAATCACTTTTAAAATTCAGTTTTTCTAGTTGTTTGCTCTGTATATAGAAATACAATTTTTGCATATTGATCTTATATTGAGAGACTCTGCTAAATCCTTTTTAATAGTGTATTTGTAGATTGCTTCAGATTTTGTGTGTACGTAATTGTGTCAGTTGTGAATATACTTTTTTTTTTCTTACAGTTATTTTTTCTTCCTTATTTTTTGGCTTTTTCTGTACAGGATAGGACCTCTAATACAGCGTTGAATAAATGTACTAATAACAGGAATACCCACTTATTTCTGAAATCAAAGCAAATACTTTCTAGAATTTATCATTAAGTATCATGCTCACAGTAGCTTTTTTTGTAGGTACTTACATATATGGAACTATTCAAATTTTGTGTCTTCCTATGTCAGTTTCGGTAGACTGTATTTTTGTAGAAATTAGTTGTTATTGTCTAAATTTTCAAATTTATTGGCATAAAATGCTTTAAGGTATTCTTTTCTTCTTCCTAAATGTTCATAGAACATGCAGTAATATCCTTTTTTCATTTCAGATACACTGCACATTTTTATCTTTTTAATTTCATAATCAGACAACACAGAAGTTTATTAATTTTAATTCTTAAAAAAATAACTTTTTTTTCTTTCTTTTTTTTTTTTGAGACAGTCACACCAAGCTGGAGTGCAGTGGCACAATCACAGCTTATTGTAGTCTTGATCTCCTGGGCTCAAATGATGCTCCTGCCTCAGCATTCCATGGAGCTATGGAGCTGGGACTACAGGCATACACCATTGTGCCTTGCTGATTAAAAAAAAAAAATTCTTATTTTTGGTAGAGATGGGGTCTCATTATGCTGCCCATGCTGGTCTCAAACTCCTGGCCTCAAGCAATCCTAACACCTTGGCCTCTCAAACTGATGAGGTCACAGGGGTGAGCCACTGGGCCTGGCCTTAATTTTCTTAATTGCATATTTTTATTGACTATTTAATTTCCGCTCTTATTACATACTTCTTTCTGCTTTCTTTGCTCTTCATTTGCTGAATATTTTCCTCACTTTTTAAAATAGATGCTTAAAACATAATAAATGTTTATAAAAATAGGCTGTTCTTTTATGTGCATTATTTTGTTTGATCTTCAAAATCACCTTGTAAAGGTGTGCTAATTCCATTTTTCCGGATGAAGAAGATGAGAAGGTAACTAATTTGCTCCAGGTTAATTATGAAGCTGGAATTCAAATTAGGTCTGTTTATCTAGAAAGTCTATATTCTTTTTAAATATCTTGAATTCACATATGATTAGTATAAAATACATTTTTATCTTTTTCAAAAACTCTATTTTGTAATTAAAGAAAAATGGTAAATATTTAGAATATGGTAAATATTTGTTTGCATTATAAAGAATCTAGGCTCAGTAAAGAAATCTAATTGTTATGAATCAGTCTTTTTGCGGATCATGTTTAAACATTTTTTCATGTATCTCGAAAACGGCACTGACAATTTCCTCCCTTTTGACCTGTTTCTCCTTCTTTTGGCTCCTTGAGATCACGCTTTCCTCCTCCTCTGACCTCTCGTTTTCAGCCCCTGTGCAGGTCCCTCCTGCTCTGTTCACCGCTAAACATCAGTGTTCCTCAGTCTTTGTCAAGACTCTCTTCACTTAAAAAAAACAAAATTGGCACTCTTACCCATGCTCATTATTTTAACTCCCAAATCCAGATTCCCAGGCCTCTGAAACTACATATTATCATTGCTTTCTGAAATTGTTCATCTGGAGGTTCCAAAGTAAGACTTTAAACTCAATCATGTCCAAACTATGCTTCAACTCGCTCTCCCCACTGACAAATAAACGCTTTCTCCTGAACTGCGTATCTCAGCAAGTAACATTCATCCAGTTTTCCAAGTCAGAACTGCAAAAGTCATACTAACATTCTTCCTCTCCCTCATCCCCTCCCTATCAATTACCCTTTAGATATCCCTATTATTGGTTCCCTCCTCACCAGATCCAATGCCTGAGTGTGTATTTAGATACTCACAATGTCTTACCTGGACCTGCTTAAATGCTACCTCTTAGAAAAAGTCTTTCAGAATAGTCCTATTACGCTTCATATACATTCACATTATAGAAATTAAAACACCATAACTCTAGGCCTGCTTCTCACTAAACTTTGAGATAATTAAGTGAAGGAGCTGTGAAACAGATATATAGTCTATCTCATATACATAGATATGTATTTACATATCTCCGAAGAGAGTTGCAAATTACTTGATACATATGTGGTGAATGGTGGTCATAGGAAAAATAAATGGAAAGGAAAGCTTATGATTTTCTCAGTGGTTGCTACAATTGTGGATAATTCATACTTTTCAAAATTAAGTGGAGAGGTCAAGTGGGTCCGTGGAGTGTTACTATTAATCCTTCTGAAAGAATTAGTTTAGATGGAACTATTGAGTGGCCTTGTGTCAATGTCACATAGAAATAGAGCTGGACCCTTTAAGATAGCGCTCTGCCATCCAGGAAAATTCTGTTCATAAGGTCATAATAAAGCCTTCTGCTACTATAGCCACATCACTTGAACAGTCATGTCTATTCATAAGCAAAGTTGTATGCTTAGAAAGACTTAGGATCGTGGAATTTGAGTTTTGAATATTATAATTTCAAATTACGTACCACTTACTAACAAAACTATCATAAAGAAGAAAATTCAATTCTACGAAGAAGGTATTTTTAATCGCCCCATTTTCAGTGTGGTGAGTGAAGCACAGTAAAATCAAGCAATTTATGCTAACTCTTATCACATTACTGACACTAATTCAGAAGTATTGCTTCCTAATTCTAGAGTCTCCTCTTTCTTATTGTGGTGACGTTTCCAGCTAACACAGGAGAGTCACATAAAATCCTTAAGTACAACTTCTGATCTGGCACTTACATCCCATATTTTAAAAATTTCCAGTGTTAATTATTTTTAATCCCTGCTCCAACTTTAAGTTTATAGGTGTTCCTCGACTTATGACAGGTTACATCCTTGTAAACCCATCCTAAGTTGAAAATATCCTAATTTGAAAATGCATTTACTACACTTGACCTATGGAACATCATAGCTTAGCCCAGCCTGACATAAATGTGCTTAGATACTTGCATTAGTCTACAGCTGGGCAAAGTCACATAGCACAAAGTATATTTTATAATAGGGTGTTGAATAGTCTGTGTAATTTATTGAATACTGTACTGAAAGTGAAAGTAGAATGGTTGTATGGGTACTCAAAGTGCAGTTTCTACAGAATGTGTGTCGCTTTCACATTCTTGATTATAAAGCCAAGAAATCAAAAGTCGAACCTGAGTGAATTGGGGACCATCTGTAGTCCCAACTGGATCTCTTGCTAAGAGAGACAAAATGACCTAGGAGTTCACAGCTAAGCAAGCCAGATTCCCTTTGCTTCTTCTCTGACTTCGCAGCCTACACTCTATTTTTTTTTCCCCCAAGATTAAGCTTCTGTCTTGCCTTGTACTTCCAGTGATGTCCTCTCTGTCTGGACTACATTTGCCTTGGCTCCTTTACAAAGTATCTCACTTCAATTCATTGTAAAATCCTGACTGGTCCTTGGATTTTATCCCTTACTCCCAGTTGCCCCATTTCAACACCTCTCTTTATGGTTGAGTCCCATTACCTGCTGGTAAATGACTTGAAGTGTCTACCTATATGGGCCATCTCACTCATGCACAGGTGGATTTGGCTGACTGGGGACGTCAGGCAGGAAATCCCTTCTTCTTTCACCTCTGTGCATTCTCTTAAAACCTGGCTGAAGATGCTAATCTTCTTAGGTGGGTTAGTAAGTATGACAGCAGGACTGTCCACAAAAGTCTTCCTTGGAAAAAGTCTTGCTCCCTTTACGTGGTCCTGAGAAGGAAGGCAGTGTCAGGATTTTGAGAGGACACAAACAGCTGGAGAGGATGCCAGTCCTAACCTGGTGCTGTTGCAGCTGGAAAGAGCAGGAGTTGAAGAATGGTGGGTTATCAGCTAGGCATCAGAGTCAAAGAAACCGATTTAGGTGCGTTTTGCCATTTACTATGTGTTAACCTTGGGTACATAACTTATCTTCTTGAGGTCTGTTTCCATGTCTTCAAAATACAAACTACTTCTTCCCTGCCTGTTCTACATGATTTTTACAAATGATATACATTAGACAACAGGAAAATTAGGAAATCTCACGAAGTATACTCATTGGTATCATCTCAAATAATCAAAGCTTTATGATGAAGTTTTCCAATCACAATTATGCCTATGTATTAAAAACAATCTTACCTGATTAGCAATAATATGGGACATACATTTCTGGTTATTAGGACTGAATTCTGTTTTATATTTCTATTACTTAGTCTTCTTCTAGAAGATTTGAAATCTATATTTCAGTTAGTAAAATATTTTAAAATTACATTTAAATTAGTAATTAGATTTGTAATAAAACATTACAAATCTTACTGCCGAAATTTGAATTTTACCAATTAAAACTGGTAAATGAACCAATATTTCTGAAACAGATTGAATCAAGATAGCAGCCAGCAAGTTTTCATTTGTATCGGAAAGGCAAATCTGAGAATCATTAGCAGTATAAATCACTGAGACAAAGATTTGGGGGAAATTCTCTTTTAATTAGTTTTGGCTCCTGTCAAGATGGTGAGCTTGGATAGGCTGCTGGCTTCTTCCAAAAACAATCCTAGAGGAACTAGGAGATAGGCAAGGGTGGTGAAGTAGGGAGAAAGGAAGGGAGAGAGGGTGAGAGACAGTGAGAGAGAGCGGGGGAGAGGAAGACGGACATATTGATTCAGACAGACAGACATGTGAATTCTAGGAAAAAACAAAACAATACCAAAAGTGAGATGTTCTGGGGAGACTGAGGCTGTCTTAACCTTGGAGTTATGGACTAGAAGCACAGAAGGCAGCAAGGTGCAGAAGGCAGTGAGAAGGCTTGGAGAGAAACTGCCAATGGCTATGCTGAAGTGTGTAATTACTGGTTTAAAAAAAAAAAAAAGACGACTAAAAAATATCTACCATTGGAAACAGAATGATTAGAAGAGAGCCCAAGAATTTAAAATAACCATGATAAAGATAACACAATTAGGAACAATACTGGTAGCATAAAGCAGAACCAATAAATCATTTAAAAAATCCAGGTAGAACTATTAGGTCTGAATACATAACAGTTGAAATATAAAAAAACGTCACCACGACAAAGGGGATAAACAGCAGGTTGAACAGATGAAGAACAAATTAGTACACTGAAAGACCAGACTGAGAAACTTGCTCAGAAGCAGCAAGAAACAGCAGAGATGGAAACCATGAGAGAATAGCTCAGGGATATGTAGATGAAAGTAGAACTGCCAACATGTATAGGAGTCCCAGAGGTGGAGGAGAAAAAATAATCAAACTATTAGATATTCCTAGAAACTCTGGTAACAGATAACCCCTTAGAATTATGGAAAAAAAAAAAAATCACTACGCACGCTTTGGTTTTATGAGAATGGCAAACTGCTAAGAAATAACTGAACAAATAAAGTGTATGTTAGTAAGATTAGTTTGCAGAATTTACCAAACAGCTGGGACATTTAAAACAATAAATCTCTTAATTCAGTGTGTGACTATCAGCCTGTGAATCTGCACTCTTACTGGTCCCCTAGCCATGGACGTGGTTAGGCCTAATCAATCAATCACCTGTGTAAACAGTGCAGCAGCACTCTTCTGGTTCTATGCTTCTCCTGAATCCAGCGTAACTCCTAGTTGTTTAGAGATGGACATCTCTATGACTCAAACTGGCTATGGATGATTCAAACTGGCTATGGTTCATACGCATCTTACAGTAAATTCCCCCAGCCTCACCCTGTTAGATTAAACCTTAAGAGTTTTCAAATATCTTCTTTGATTTAAAGACAGGTGCCCAAGCATCCAAACAGTCCTGAGATTTTATGATTCTGTGTTGTTTAACACAGATATCATAGACCAACATCATCAATTAAAATATAGTTAGACACTAGGGAAAAAGATGATTAGATGATTACTTGTGTTTATGAAATGTCTCTGGTTTATATACAAAAATTATTCTGAACAATTACAATTAAGATCTATCTATCAGTGAATTTTGGGATGTATGAAAAAATCAATTCCTAAGTGCTTATATACTGTTGAGTAAGAAATGAAACACAATAAACATTTTAATTGATCTGCTTTTTATTTCTTTCACTGGAACCAGTACTAGGAGAAAAATAATGGGGGGAGAGCCCTATAATGAGATCTATAATAATCAGACTCCAAAGTGTTATTGCTGTTATTTTCTATTGTGAAAAATTATCCACATTTCTTTACTTATCTATTTAAATCTTATCAATTGTGTAAACACTGATTAAAATGGTCTATGTTTTAGAAATTTGGGGGGTTATCGTAGGATTAAGATATTTAGTAAAACACATTTTTGTGATAAAAGACTCAGAAGAATCCCTTAAGTGTTAAGACCTACTTCCCTAACGCCCTGTAATTCACAGTTCATTCTGAAACAGCAGTAAATCACCGATGTGAATATTGTCTTCATAATGTCACTACAAAACAGCATAAAAACTATCTTAACTACATGCCATAAAATTAAAACAGCAGACCATGACTGGGAGAGAACTACAGGTTTATCTTACTTTCATGAAGATTTTTAAAAAGGTAACATTTATGGAGAAAGTTCGTGAATATTAAATCTTTCAAACACCTACAATGATTAAAAAACTCTTTCTGCTTATGCCAGCAACTCTCCAACATAAGATTGCTGTTCAGTTTGCTACGGCAGGCCACAGAGAATGTGAGGTTTGAAAAGCAAACGGAACAAACTGGGGTGAAAATTATTTTGATAATTTCAGATGTCCTGATATTGAAAACTTCTGAAAGTTTGTATGCTACACCCTAGATGCCTCACGTATGGTCCATGGACCAGCAACATTAGCATCACTTGCAAGTGTGTTGGAACAAAATCTCATGCCCCACCCAACCCTACTGAATTCAGATCCTGTTTTTTCTTTTTAAAAAACTAGATCCTCAGGTGGTACATGTGCACACTGAGGTTTTAGAAGCACTACCGCTGTGGCGAAATATTCTGAAAACTTAGGGTTAATGTGATGTGTTTTTATATAACAATAACATTATTTATATAACAATCATAGCAAATCTTCCCTAGACTGGAAGGTTTTCAATAGTATGGGTTATAGTTTATTCTTTTTGCATGCTCAGCATCCAGTATAATGCCTGGCTCATATTTGGCCCAGTGAAGATGAATGAATAAATGCCATTACAGTAAAAATAGAGCAGTCATGTCAGTGAGGCTACATTAGCTATTTACAAATGTTAAGACAGCTGGCTCAATGGGCAAGAATAGGGACATTCAATAGGAACAATAAAGCAGAATAAGTGAAAATGTAAAATATTTTCGCTCAGACACATAATAGAGAAAACTTATCAAGTGTTTAATCAGGAAGAAAACACACAGCAAAGGTTTTGAGTGTCAAAATGCATAACGTGATGATTTGATAACCATGTAATTAGTTTTAGAGTTGGGGCTGGCCATGCTGGAAAGACTAATGATGTGACCATAGGTTTGGAACTTTGAGCCATGAGGTTTGGGACTTTGAGCCATGCAACACCAACCCAACCTCTGGGGAAGGAAGGAAAGCTGAAGATAAAGTTCAGTCACATGGCCAATGATTTAATCAATCCTATGGGCTATATAGTGAAACTCCAATAAAAACCATATACCAAGACTTGGGAGAGCTTCCCTGGCTTGAACACATGGATGTACCAGGAGGGTGATGCATCGTAAGGATATGGAAGCTAGTGTTTGCAACTATCTATATAAGAGCAAATGTGATTTTGTAATGCATACATATTTGCAGTGTGCTAAGCCACATTACTGGCCCATTGCTGGTCAAGTTTTACTAAAATGCTATGCTTACTGATCAAATAAGAATCTAGAATGTAAAGTGGGTTCAAAATCTAGAATATAAAGTAGATTTAAGGTAAAAAACACTTGGGAAAATTAAAAGCATTTGATAACAGTTCAGACAATGTTCTTTAGCTAATAGTTCTTTAATGATAGTTAACAAGCATAATGCCTGCAGTACAGTTCTGATCCTTACTACCCAGAATTAGGTCAAATGTCACATGTATTAGGGCTCTCAGAGGGACAGAACTAATAGGATATATATATAAAAATATAATATATATAATATATATTTATATATTTTATATATATATGAAAAGGAGAGTTTATTAAGTATTAACTTACATGATCACAAGGTCCCACAATAGGCCGTCTGCAGGCTGAGGAGCAAGGAGAGACAGTCCGAGTTCCAAAACTGAAGAACTTGGAGTCTGACGTTCCAGGGCAGGAGAGCATGGGAGAAAGATGTAAGCTGGGAGGCTAGGCCAGTCTTGGACATTTTTCTGCCTGCTTTATATTCGCTGGCAGCTGACTAGATGGTACCCACTAGATTGAGGGTGGGTCTTCCTTCCCCAGCCCATTGACTCAAATGTTAATCTCCTTTGGCAACACCTTCACAGACACACACAGGATCAATACTTTGCATCATTCAATCCAATCAAGTTGACACTCAGTATTAACCACCGCAAGTCTACCCCTTGTTAACTTGAACCCATACATATCTCCTGAGATCATACATAATCTTCAAATAAAGACAATAATAAAGTCATAATCATGCCTAACATAATACAACTATCCTTCATACAACTGGAAATGTACCAGTCCCCAACCCAAATACTATTACATAAAGTTAACAATACTTAAATGCTGATATGAAGTCAATAAATCTTATGTCACATGATAAAGGAAAGGAAAATAAAATGAAGATACTTTCTTAGTACAAGTGTATACATGCATAAACATATTTTTAACAAAAGGAGGAGGAAATATTCATGACAGTTACAGTCCTTGCTTCTGTAGCTGGTCATGTGGTCATAGCTGGTATTGATGACTACCTTCTTCTACTACCCATTCTGTATTCCTTTTGCCTTCAGCAAGCACCTCAGCAGATCGTGGCTTTTTTTCCTGGTGGAGTAACCCAAATCTTCATTCCTGAGGGGTCTGGACCATTTGCAGTCCTGCCTGGATTGGGCTGTTGTAGTTTCCCATTGACCTTAATCACAGGGGATGGTAATACTAAGAGACACCGATCTCCTGTATTCCATGCATACTCTTCCTTACCTCTGTTATGGAGTAATAGACTGATTTCATCTTGATAGTCTGGGTCAATCACCCCAGTCAACACTGTAACTCCCTTCTTAGTCTGTTGACTTAAAGGTAGGAGAAGCCCAAAGTGTCCAGGTGGCAATCTTAACTTCCAGTTTAATAGATCGTTGTTCTGTCTCCTGGTGGCAGCATTCCTCCCTCTGGTACTAAGAACTTTAGGCCAGCAGAATGTAATGTCACCAGAACAGGAAGCAAAAATTTTGCTAGTGGATCACTAGGGATGATGGTGAGTGGTGCCACTTCCACTTCCATCCCTTGATTCCTGGACCCGTGAATCCTGGCTATGGGAGAAATTGTACCATATATTGGATACAGATTCAGAGCACACACGGACTTTTGGAGAACTTTGCCCCAGCCCTGCAAAGTATTGTCACCTAGTTAGGGTTGTAATTGTGACTTCAGAAGGTCATTCCACCTTCTATCAATACAGCTTCTTCAAGAAGATGGGCAACATGGTAAGACCAGTGAATTCCATGAGCATGAGCCCACTGCCACACTCCTTTAGCTGTAAAGTGAGTGCCTTGATCAGAGGCAATGCTGTGTGGAATACCATGACAGTGGATAAGGCATTCTGTGAGTCCACGGATGGGTCTTGGCAGAAGCATTACGTGAAGGATAGGCAAACCCATATCCAGAGTGAATGTTTATTCCAGTGAGGACAAACCTCTGCCCTTTCCATGATGGAAGAGGTCAATATAATCATCCTGCCACCAGGTAGCTGGCTGATCACGCTGAAA